TTCACATTGTGTTAGGTTTTGAAATAGTCAGGTACTTTGCCCTGTAAATTACCTTGTAGCATCTTTATTATCTCCGGAGAAGAAATGGCTTCTCACTGGCTGAACCACTGGTAATTCTGTTGGTGGATTTACACATGGATCTTATTTCCCTTTCACTCCTGCAGGAATGAATAGTTTGCGTAACTAAGAATGAAGAGACCTGATTTAAAGATTTCAGCATTCCGGGGGTGGGAGGGAAATATAAGATGATTGATACCTAATGGGCAGTGCCTCGCTCTGCTTGCCATCCCCCCACCCAGCGTGTCTTGTTCGTCATAATATTGGTGAGGAAGACAAACACAAGTAAATCCGGCTGTTTTAAGCCCCTGTGACGCTTTTAATCTGTTAATCTTATTTCGACAGCGCAGGTGTTTGTCACGCATTGTCTTCCAATCAGATTTGATTTGTATCTATTAATACAAGTGTTCCCGATTGCTGGTTGTAGTCAGCCGTGAAATCTGGATAGTGAAGGATTTCTTGGTGCTTGTGAATTACGCCATATGATCCGACCGCAAAAAANGCTGCTTTTTTTTGTTCCTTTCTTCCTCCGAAGGGATGTGTCATTGTCGGAGTTTTGTCAGCATGACTTGCACCTTGGCTTGTTTGTGCCAGTGACTGTCCTATGACCTTCTGTTACTATCATTACTGTCTGGCCATGTTCTGTGAAAGGCTGCAGTGTGGGTGCATGGCTACTGGCAGCTCCCCATTGCCATTTTCATTATTTAGTCCTGGCCAGCTTCTGTCTGGGGGCATCACACCCAAGTCAATTCCTGGCAAAACCTGACATGCACACTGTCCACATGGTGACAGGCACTGAATCACAAGGGTTTGTTCGGATGAAGAAGAACCTTCGGTCCATCTAATCTCATTCTGCAGGAATACAGAATAAAGCAGAAGCTGTGGCTGGAGACCTCTGTTCCTTTTACTCTTCTATCTCTGTTAAATTGGAGCCTTTCACCTTCACAAATAGTTGGATCAGGCAGCAGCGTCATTTCATCAAAACTCAACCGAGCTGCGTAAACAATGTTGAGTTGACTGGGAGCCCAGGCATGTGGACTCAGCACTTCTCCTAACTTGGTAGGATTTCTGCTGCATCAGCCGCTAGGCCAGGCTACCTCAGTGAATAGACCTTTCACTCATAATTTTATAATCTATCAATTATTAGCACAACTCCACCAGATCATACTTTCGTCAGACAGGAGCATAGAGGAAGCTTCATTTATGCCAGCCACCATCTCATTAAACAGCTGTTAGCAACACAGTTAGTTAGTGGTTGTCGTGTTATGCTGTAAGGAGCTGACAGTATTAAGCTGTTTAGTGGCATTTCTTTTATTGCCCTTTGCTCACTTACCCACCAAATCTTGTGATGCTACAAGAAATAAAGCTGATCAAAGAAAAACATTCTCGCCATTTTGGCTGCAATATTGGTAGGTTACTTTGACGAAAAGGAAAATAAGCCAGCGAGTGTTCTGCTAACCAGAAGTCACAAACCATGACCATGAGAAGGAAATCCAATCAGATACACAGACATGACCACTGAGAATGACAGCGGGACAGTGAATAACCAATTTTGTTTTGGAGGATTGCTGGCCAGCATCAGGAGAAGCTGGGAGAAACTCTTTTTTGAGTTATGCCGTGGGATATTTAATTCCCAACTGAACAGGCAGACAGGGCCTCAGTTTAATGTCTCATCCAAAGGATAGCACCTTCCAACAATGCAACGCTCTCCCAGCATCGTATTGAATTGTTATCCTTGACTTTGAGTTCAAAGTCCCCGACATGAGGCTTGAACCCACATCCTTGTGACTCAGAGAAGAGAGCATGAGCAACTGAGCCAGGCTGACCCATTGATCAGTAAAGCTTGTGTGTAGACGGTGCTGAGCAACTCATGAATACTCACACGTGGAGTGTTTTCCTTTTTGCCAGTGGAACCGTATCCCATTTGATGCCACCGGCTTGAAGACCTGAGGGGAGAAACTGACAGGCTAACGCAGTGCTGAAGTTGTAATATTATTTATGCAAACAATTTATACAACCCTGCGCCTGTGTAATTCATATCTTTGCAAATTATTTGTTTATCCATCTGGTTCAGCAGTTTGTAAAATTCCCAGGGACTGTGAGATGACCAAGAATTTTTACAAGTACATTGCATGAGTTTTCTTTCAATGCATGTCAGTTTTGGAGAGCAGTTGCTTTCAAAGACTTTTCAATGAATCTAGCAAATTGGTGAGGGAGAGAGAGAAAATTGTTTGTTAAAATTTAATTGAGTACAGTGTCAGCTCCAGAGTGGAATGTATGTTTGAGCTGGTTTTGCAGATGTGGGGGTTAAATTGTTGTGCAGAAAAATGCTTCATTTTCAGCGCTATCTGATTCAGTGTCTTGATGTGACGAGATACAAGAGTAGAAAAAAAAGCACCTGAAAATGAACACATCTTTACATATATTTGTGTGTGCTCTGCCTCCCCAGGAGTAATTCTAATGCCCTATATAATCAAGCGTATCTACTTTGGCCAGACAGTGTGTGTGTGTGTGAGAGAGAGAGCGAGAGAGAGCACACAAGAAAAGAGAAATATCTCCCAATGCTGGACCACATATCTCTCTTAAAATGGCTGCTTCTGATTGCCCAGTGCAGTCTGGCCTTGCCTGATGGGCCAGTGTAGTCTAGCCCTGATGGCTGTCGAGCCTCTGTGCTGTGTACATTCTGACACGGCTGCCTGCCTCTCGCCTGGCTCGGTGAGGCTTTGTTTCTCTTCAGTCCTCCCAGTTCTGGGTATTTGCACTTTGTGTGAAAACACTGTACCTAAACCCATGTTGACACGTGCAGTGCACTGATGCTATCTGGATAGGATTTTTTTAAAGAAAAAATTTAAGAGGGCTGACGGTGGTCAACACATTTATGGTGATATACTTGGGATGAAAGATACATCTGTTCTGATCAAATGCTTCGTAAATTCCTCACCTAATGGGAAAGTCTTTGCATTGCTGCCTCTGCTGAGAGAATAGCTTGATGTGACTGACACCAAGTGGCTGGAAGTAGTACCACCTGGCTTTGAGACAGTCTTTGGTCTCCTGCTGTAATCAACACCTAAGAACGATGTTTTAGATTTTCCTTTTCCTAAATCAAGGGTACTGAGGCTAATTGTCACACATCTACCGCTGCCTCGGCTTACATCAGCTAACAGAGCACAAACCAGGAACCGAAGCTTTCATGTACTGAAGCTGCATGGTTCCCTTTCACGCTTAACCTTCTGAGGTGTTTAAGAGCTGCATGAAAACATTATCAACCTGGAATGGAGAGAAAGGGAACAGGTGATGCAGGGAGGTGATGCACTAAGTGAAATGGGGATGAGGACTAGGTCTGGAGTCTTTGCTGACTTTGTGGATGAATGGATTTAGTTGGATCTTGTTCATGCTGAAACTGATTTCGAACAAAAAACAAGCTTCAATTTGTTCTCTTTGGAGGTCAGATTTACCCACGATTGGAATTCAGGCACAATATGACCATCAAACCACTCTAATGAGATTTTTCACAAACATGAATACCTTTGTATTAAAGTACATTCACTCCAGAGTAAGGAGCACTTTGAAATCCACCCTCCATACATTAATGTGGAGTCCCGTAGCTCAGTGGTTAGAGCACTCGCTTTGCAAGCAAGACACCTGGGTTCGATTCCCGGCAGAGTGAAACCTTGGACAAGTTTCCTTACTCCACAAGCCTGATAATAATCCCTCAAAAAAACAATAATAAATTGGTCACTTCAATCCACGACTGTTTGTGGGACACTGCTGTGCGCAATTGGCTGCTGCGTTTTGCCCACAAAAAATGCAGTCAATTCACTTTACAGTATATTCTGTGAAGCGCTTTGAGACGTTTAGAAGACGTGAAAAGCGCTATATCAAATGTAAGTATTATTATTATTAATGTGTGTAAAAGAGCCTGTCAGACTTTATTCCTTAACCGAGAAGAGAGCATCACATACCTCACTCCCCTGAGCTTATTTGCACAAAGCTGTAACAAGGTTTTAGGAAGACTTGGCAATCAGATTTACATGGCTTATTGTTCTCTTTTTGCATCTAACAATTTGCATGTATCTTTTCGATCAATCCAGTGGGTTGTTTAGAAAGGGTGCAAGCATTCAGTGACCCATAGCATTTTTTTTGTTACAGGTTTTTCAGAACACAAAACCGAATGTGCCAAATATTGAATTTTCCAGGGTTCATATTTTCCGAGATTGAACAAAACAAGTACACTCAGCATCATTTGCTAAAGTGGCACTAGGAGTACAGGAGAGTCTTCATTGCACAGAATATCCCTGAGCATTAAAAAGGGATCAGTATTCCTGATGAGAGAGCAGAATGCCATTGCAAACTCTTTGGGTCTGAGCGCTCTTGCAAAACATTAATACTTCTTTAAACGTTTGGAATCTATGACCCTTCTTATTAGGCACTTGTGTTGAATTGGTCGCAATAAATAAAGCAGAGAAAAGCCATGAGAGCTGTCAATAAATCCTTCAGATTTACCTCCGGAATTTTTAGTCTTAACAGGATTATTGCAAGTGTACCCCAGTTGAGCATAAATTACCATGCTTGCAGCACTGGCAAAAATAAGATGACTTTTTATTAAAATTTGCAGACCCGCTGTGGCAATTTGATGGCTAAATCAGGGTTCTGCAGAGAAAAGGCTGGATACACGGTGCAAATTGTGCCTGGTCTGGTCTGGCCGGGTTAACAGCAAAACCCTCCATTTTGTATTGCTTCACAACAGAAGCTGTTTGTGTTTAATCCCGAGAGTGCCGTCTGCAGTGTTGTGTGATCTGATTGAATGGAATCTATCTTATGTCAATGAATCGAGCAAGGAAGGCCAAGCCACCTGCAACATGCTGGACATTTATGTTGTACTAAACAGGATGGAGCATTTGTAAACTCCGGTGCTTATTCTTTCCATGCTTTGCTCCGCACAGCCCTCCTGTCATCGTGGTGTGAGGATCTAGGGCGTCTCTTGCTGCTTCGTCACCAGAAGAGCCGTCAGAACGATACCCCTGGCAAATTAGCAATGCAGCCACCGATGAACCCAATGAACTCCATGAAACCAGCACTCCCTCCTGGACCACACAGGTCAGTTCTTATTGAATAATGTTCTCTGCAATTTCCCTCTGGTGGCTTGTCCTCAGAGATGTGTGCTGCTGAAAGCAGTTTGCACCGTGCGGTGTCCAGGGTATTCCTAGTAGGCAGTTACATTAAAGGTAATTTGTACCTCGTGATGATCTCAGTTACTCTGAGAGGAGTGGATAGATTCAGCTCAGTTGCTAATGGAGCGTTATTTTATCCAGCAAAAGTGTGATCGTAAGGTGGTGTCGGCAAGCAAAATACTGATTAAGCACTTAAAATATTCTCCGTTTATTGAAAATCTGCCAAGCAAAATGAAATTGTGAGTGTCTCCCAAATACATTTTTGATATCAAGTTGAATAAACTTCAGTTTGCATAGCCTCCAACAGAACACTAAGGAGACATTTATGTCATTTATTGCTGTGCACAAATTGGCTGCCACGTTTGCTTACAAATACACAGTCGCTACACTTGACAGCAGTTCCCTGTTAAGAACTTTGAGACATTTTGATGTTATAGGTGCTACATCAAATGCAACGATTATTATTGTGATTTATTACCAAAGTAACACTAGTCTGAAAATCACCAAATTGAACAGTCACAGTTAATTGAATAAGTCAGTTTGTTTTCCATTAATACGACAGGCAAAATGCATCAAGCAGTAGGTGATCATATAACATTTGGTGCTATGGAAATAGTTATGAATATCGCTCATTATTATTGCTCAATAGCCTTGGGATGGCAAATGTATGGGTTTATTACATTCTGCAGATTGTTCTTCTGTTTGGCTCTTGTGATCATTCGCCCACAAAGGTACAGTCATTCCACTTTAAAGTGGATCCTGTGAAGTGCTTTGAGACGTCCGTTTGACTTGAAAGGCACTATATCAAATGTAAGAATTATTATCATAATCTCCGGGTCAGTTCATCTTTGTGTCTGAGTAACATTCTACATACTGAGAGTGGAGTGGAAAGCCTCGGAATGCTTTCAGACAGCTGAACCCGTCCCTACGACACGTAGCAAGTCGCTCATTTACTTTCCTGTTTTTACTTATAGATGTTGAGTTTACGTAACACTGTGCACTCGCAAACCATAACCTAATCAGCAGCCAGACTAGGGCAGAGAGAGAGGCAAGAGCCTCGAATTCCCAGCATGTCAGACTAAAACTCCCAGCTGTCCCTTGCCCTCACTGGCGATTTATGTTTGTCTCGCGGAGTGTAAAGGGAGAAAAAGACATGTTTTATCTTTGTGTAAAAACTTGAAACAAATACAGTATCTGTTACTATTGCTGACAGTCAGCACAGAAGCATTTACAGCACACCTGTTTGGCTCCCCAAAGTAAATCATCTCAGCTCCTTTATGTAAACCATTTAGCTGCTCTTAATATTGAGTGGATTCATAGGGGGCACAATACAACACATGCTCGCTTATTATACTGATGAAGGGTACACCCAGTTGATAAACAACAATTAAAACCACCAAATTCATCTTCTGCTTTCACCAAGTTGAAGTCAGCGGTTTTGAAAGAGAAATTATACTCCACTGAGTTGTGGGTGAGCGCTAATTGAGTGTGTTTAATCATTGAGCCACTGGGGATCCCTGCTGAGAAATACTTTAAAAATAATCTGGGATAAAACTTTAATACTATTAGATTTTTTTTCTCTTTGCGCTATATAGATCTACGGACTACACCTAGAGCAAAATATTTCTGTGAAATAACTAGTCTGATGTAGCTAAGTCTTGGCCCACAAAGTAAGGGTTAGTTTATTTTCATTGCACTTGGCGGGAGTGTTGAGACTGAACTGGGACAAACCATTCAATCCATTGCATTGGTGTTTGAAGTGTTCAGTTAAATATCATTCATGGCTCTCAGTGACCACTGCTGACTTCAACATTCGGCAGATAATGCAATAGAGGATGGTGCCTATATTTAGGTCCGGCACATTTATCAACGTCAGAATCCCACAGCAGGAATCACTCGAGATTTGAGTTCATTTTATTGCTGCCTTTCAGGGTTTCCAAAAAAATCTCCTAAAGCTTAGACTCAAATTCTCCCGATATAAAAGGAGCTATATAAATGCAATTTGTTGTTGTTAAACTGTCTTTTTTTAAAAGAAGTGGTTTTCTTTGTTGGAAATTGCTGTGTCCAGATCCACTGCTGTCAAAACACAGTCATGACACTACAACAAGTCCATGTGAAGCGTTTAGATGCGTCCTCCCGACGTGAAAGGCGCTACATCAAATGCGACGCTTATTATCTATTTAGTTGTGGGTGGAAAGGCGAATGTAATTATCTGCAATGCTTGTCTCTCCTGCAGTGATGGGTCATTCACCTATGACTCTGTCCCATGGCAACAAAACAGCAATCAGCCACCGGGCGCCTTGTCTGTGGTCACGACTGTGTGGGGAGTCACCAACACATCACAGAGCCAGGTAGAAGCAATTCTTTTCTATAAAACCTACTCATGTTCAATGTCAATATAACGTTTAAATTAATTGCAAAGTTCTTTCTGAACAACAAAAACTATAAACACGTGTTCCCTATTTATAGTAACAATGTGTAAAAGAGTTACATAAAATATCATGAATTAATAGCTCAAGTGGAAGAATGTTGACCCAGAGTTGCCCTAAAGATTCATCAAATGCATTGTCTGGTGTGGTGCAAGGCTCACAGACCAGGAGGTTTCCGGGCTTTCTGTCATACCTACCGTATCCTCGTGCTGTTAGCTGTTCTCAGCTGAAGTACAACAGAGGTGGCATAATGTCCCTAGTGTCCTGAGTTGAGGGTGGTGGATGTGAAACAATCATTCACAATTCCACTGCCCCTCCTGGAAAGAGTGAATGTGTAGAGATTGGCTGAGAGCAGGATTGGGCTCAACTGTCAGCCCCTCTTCTCCATTAACAATAATACTCTTGTCCAAACTCATGTGTGAAACATGTTCACTCAGAGCAAGTACCAGCGGTCAGTCAGACAGCAGGGGATTCATTCACCTATTAATTAAAAGGCAACATCATCATATCACTGAGACTGCACATCACTGGAGCTCATATCACTTAAACACCCTCGTTTTTTGCTGGAGGAAGTTATGTTGTGTTATGGGTAAGGTCACACAAAAGCACCATTGAATGAGAGGCTCATCCCACTTGGCCGGTGATTTTGCTGCAAAGAGCGGCATTGTTCATTCTTCCAAAATCTAGGAGAAAGCTATCTGCATTCTGCAGTTCCTAACTGATCTTCTAAATGCTGTAAAAGCTGGTGAGCATTATTGTAATGTAGATGCTTCATAAATGCACAAGGTCATTCCTGAAGTTTAGCAGGGAAGGTCTTATTTATTTGACAATATTTGGAAATTCACCTCTAAAGTAATATTTTTTTTCCTTCCTGCTCCCCCCATACAGGTGCTGGGAAATCCGATGGTAAATACAAATAACCCCATGACTCCAGGAGGCAACCCAATGGGTTCCGGGATGTCTGGGAACAATCCCGGGATAAACTCGCCTCAGTTTGCCAGCCAGCAACAGCAGTTCCAGGGAGCAAAGGGTGGTTCAAACCAAGCGTACATGCAGCAGGGCATGTACAGTCGGCCAAACTATGCGGGTACAGCCAACTTTGGCAACAGGTAAAATAGTAACTGTATTTCTATCGCAGTCTGTGTACATTTTTATTCCTAATGTCTATTTCTAAACGGGAGCAGAAGATATATTTTTGAAATCATGCACATACTGCATCAGGACTTGGAACCCATATCATCTAAGCTGACACTCCAATACCGTGCTGGGGTGTGTTACGTTGTCCGAGGTGCTGCCGTCCGCATGAGACGGCCCATTTGCCTGTTCAGGTGTACGTTAAAGATCCCGTGACACTATTCGAAGAGAACAGAAGTTCTGCTCAACAATCCGCCTGCCCCCCCCCCCCCCCCCCCCCGAGTAAAATTGGACATGCACTTCAAAGCTGTTTGTGGGACATTGCTGCGTACACTTGGGCTGCCTACAAAATGTTTGCGTACAAAATGCAGAGTTACAACACTTGACCATATGTCCCGTGAAGCGCTTGGAGACATTTTCCTGACACGAAAAGCATTATATCAAATGTGAAGATGATTATCGTTACTAAATATGCATAAATATATAGTAATTTCTATTCTGTTTTTCTATAGAAATGATTTTCTAATTGGCCGTTTTCTCTCTCTCTCTCAGTTACCCTGGCGGCCCCAATGCCCCAGGCTCCATGGGGATGCCTCCACACAGCAGAGCACCGACGGATTTTACCCAGCCTGCTGCTGCGGCCGCCGCTGCAGCAGTCGCCGCCGCCGCCGCAACGGCAACAGCCACAGCGACCGCCACCGTGGCCGCCCTGCAGGAGAAGCAGAACCAGGAGATGAACCAGTACGGACCGGTAAGCCCAACTCTCATTCAGTCCTCTCTGGGTGTTAGTTTAGTTGCTGGTGGCCACAACATTGACATGACAGCCAGTGCCCCATCAATAAGTGCCACTGAGATTTTAACACTTCGGCTTGTCAGGAGTTGCGGGTGCTTTCCGCCCCGACAATCTTATCTCAGGAATCCGGCGGCCGCAGCGGCAGACTGTGTAGCCGGGATGCAAGGAATTCTCAGTTTGGTTTGGATATTCTATGCATGGTGATGGGTTTCCGCATGTCTCAAAGACACCTGGTTGACTAACCTCCACCCCAACCCCCAAAAGAGTTGGGTCTCGCAAGCAACTCCCGTCAGACAATTTGTGTGCAGTCGTAAAGCAGGCGCTTCTGTTCTAGCCGGAGAATTTTGGCGCTGTGCTCTTCTTCACCTCCCTTTCAAGGCTTCTTCTTCTTTCCAGATGGGTCCAGCACAGGCTTACAACAGCCAGTTCATGAACCAGCCTGGTCCCCGGGGGCCTTCTTCCATGCAAGGCAGCATGAACCCAGCAGGAATGGGGGGTGGGATGACCCCATCCAGTATGAGTGGTCCACCCATGCCAATCAACCAGCCCAGACCCCCAGGCATGAATCAAGTTTTTGCTGCCCACAGTCAGAGAGTGCCGCAGCAGGGCTACCCAGGCCCAAGACCCTCCCAGCCGATGCAATTACAGGGAGTCAAGAGGCCTTATCCAGGCGAGGTGAGCTACACTTAGTTATTCGCTAAGCTCTTTGTGTCTTCATCATACAGCTCTGGTTCAGCACATAATGCCCCTGCTTCTCCTCCCCATCCTTCTTGCTCCCTCCCTCTCTTGCTCCCTCTGTGCTTTTTTCTCCTCTTTCAAAGTAAGCCTCAAAACTTACCTCTTTGACTAAGCTTTCAGTCATTTTCACCCACCCCACCCCCCTCACTCAGGTCCCACCCTCAGCTCTGGTGCTCATCCAGAATTGCTGAGCATTTTGGGACCTCATACCAATGTGAAAGGCTCTATATGAGTGTAAACACCACTATAACAACAAAAATATTTTAAAATTATTTTAAATTAAATTTAAAATATTTTTAAAATACGTTTTGCCCACAAAATATACAATCAATTCACTTTACAGTATATTCTGTGAAGCGCTTTGAGATATCTCAAAGATGTGATAAAGCGCTATATCAAATCCAAGGTTTATTATTATAACAACAACAAATTGCTATTAGTGTCTTTCACGTCAAAATGACATCCCAAGGCCCTGGACATTGAGGGGCTTGCACCTGAGCTACTATTAAACTATGCACTTCAAATAGCAAGGTTTTAAAAAGTCTACTGCACTGTGGGGCGTTATATTTATTGCCGGCGTTAAGATTTATTATTTAAATCTTCTATTTGTACTTCTAGCCGAATTATGCAGGACAGCAGTATGGGCCAAGCAGCCAGTTCCCCAATCAGCCTGGTCAGTATCCAACCCCCAACCCTCCCAGGCCCATCACATCCCCCAGTTATCCTGGTCAGAGGATGCCTGGTCAACAGAACACAGGCCAGTACCCTCCACCTCCAGTCAACATGGCCCAGTATTACAAGGTAAGCAAAGCACTTTGGGATAATTAATGTTTTATTTGCAATCACTTTTTTTTGCCCCCCAAAATGGAAGGACCCAATTATTTAAAATGAATCACTTAAAAAAAAGCAACAGCTAAAGAAAATGGGGTTTGCTTTTATATTATTATTTCAACTGGACGAAAGATCACAGGTTTTCTAGTGAACGCGATTTAATTTTCTTGTGTGATAACGAGTGATTTGATGCCTCCTAAGTGATTCTTTTTTCTCCTCATCCCCTCTTCTGCACACCAACATCACCACCAGGCAGAACAGTTTAATGGACAAAACAACAGTTTTGCTGGCAGTGGATACACCTACAGTCAAAACAGTCTGAACGGGGTAAGTTCCCAGGCAAGGAAAGACTCTGCTCCTTCTGTAACTGACAGATGAATTTAACTGGCGTTTATTGTTTCTTTTTCAGAACAGTAAGATGTTTGTCACTTATAGTTTTTTTTAAAAAAAGAAAAGGGAGTTCTTTTATTTAAAAATAAAAATGGTGTGGTTTGTGGAGAGAGGATAATAAATGGCACTCAGACTAAAAAAACATGTTCATCCGTCACAGCCAAAGAATAGGTTCTCCATTCAAATGTTTCAACTGACCAAAGTTATCACATTTTAAAGTGTTCTGCAGCCTCCCTAGCTTTTGTGTAAAATGTCATCCACAATACAAGTCAAAGAAACTTTCCTTCTTCCTCTATTGAAGGTCATGACTTTTACTAGGGTAGTTTTACAGGTGTCACTTTTCATGGGTGAGCTGAGAGAGTGTCACAGGCTGGGTAGTGTCTTTAAAGTATTTATTTTTCTGGAACCTCCTTCCCATTCCCAATTAAGGCAATTGCATCAGTACTTCAAATATTAATGGACCGCTCAGTGTCTCAGCTTGCCAAGCCGTACCAAGGACACTCGTGAAAAGAGACTCATTTCCATGATCCAACCAAATGCCAGTGAGGGCATCATCATAACTTAACAACCACAACCATCTCAATATGACCTTGTGCGTGGAATCGACATCTGTAACCAAGTGCAGTTAAAACTACACTTGATCTTACCAAAAGGCTGAGAGAAGGTTGCTGTGGTGGGTGGGAGAGAATACAAGTGAGTTTAGCTCTGCCATCCACATGCACTTTCAATAAAGAGTCATGGATAGTGATGGAGATCAGATGAGATTTTTTTCCTAACCCAGTAGCACTAAAGCTGCCTCTGCTGCCCCTGTTGAGATCAGACAACTCAGTACAGACTGTGGTTGATCCAGGAATTTCAGGGTTCCCAAGATCAGTTTCACACCAGGCAGTTGCTTAAGACATCATATGAGCCCTTTACCCACTTGCTTTGTTTCGCAAAAAAAAATGTTCCTAGAGAGAACTTTTTTTTAGTTAACTTCGCAAAAGCTGAAAAATGTTCTTTCCAATTTGGTACACTTCCCATTCGCAAAATCCACAAATTCAAACCGGTTTGTGAAATTCTTATTCTCTTCCAATTTCATCCTAAACTGGATGGAGGGGGAATCCAGCTGTTGATCTCTCAACTTGAATTTTGTTGGGTTGTTAAGGAAAGCCATTGGGAAGTCTAGTGAATTGCACGCGTGACTGCCCAGCCTCTTGCCCCGTTCCTTTTAAGTCCCATCAAATATCCTAGGCACCCAGTTACAAGTAAGTTGCACATTTAACTGATACTCTCTGAGATTTCAAGCCCACTTTTCCATTTGCTTTCTGCTTTCTTTATGTATATACAGTAGGTTGCATGCTCACCAAAATGTTTGTAACGAGAAACCTCTTTTGTGAGAGCGTCAATCTCCTGCACTTTGAGAATCTTCTGAGTCTTTTTGCATGTTGGTGTCAGTATCACATTGCAGCACTTGGTTAAGCATTAACTGTATTGCCTCATGTTTTTTTAAGAACTGCAGGTAAGTCCTCTTGTCTTGACAAGGTACATCACCTAATTAATGTGCTTAGTTGATGGATTTCTGTGTTCTGCACGTGACCACTCAGTCTGTCTTTCGTGGCACGTTGTATCCATTAACAGATCATGCTTTAGCCGAGATGAATGCACAGTTCTATTGCCTCAATGGGCGTCACTGTTTTCTAGCCATGTAGGACGGGGTTTTGAGGGATTGCAAATCAGAAACATACCTGGAGACCAATTGGGAGGGAAAGGTTAGAAAATCAGCTGGAGATTGAGAAACCTGTCTCTGTTATGTTTGTCTTCTGTATTTAAAAAAAAACACTTGGTCTGTATGTGTTGGGACTTTTACCTGCAGACAATATCTTACTTATGTCACTGATGATGGGTAGACTCCAGTGCTTCGGAAATTTGTTTTGCTCAGTGTTGAAGTGCTACTGGTCCTTTTTGAACCACTACTGAAATTCTCTGAATGTAATTTTCTCCCTTTTCTCTTGGCGATCCCCATAGTTCAGGTGCTAGATGCACAGCTGTCTTTTTTTCAAATTGGCACATGGTTTTCTCTCTGCACCCAATTCCAGCATTTCTGGTTTCCAAACTCCCACATTTCACCTGCCCAGCAGTGACCGCCCCCTAGTAAAGCTAACCTATCAATACACTGATGGCACAATACCAAGCAAATCTGTGGCTTAATATGTGGGAATGCACCATTAACAAATGTGTCGGAAGGACACGTTTTGTCCCTCTTTCCTCCTCCCCAGCCCCCTCCTCATGGTTGCTGGTGCATTCTCAAAAGATACCATATCTACTTCTATAGTTGATGTCACATACAGAAAGCAATGCTTTGCTTTTAACTATAGAATAAAAATGTTGAGCTAGTAAACTTTTGCAGTTCAGTAAACCTGCCAATTCTGTTTTTCATTATTAACCATCACAATAATTGGAAACGTCCCATCTTCTTCTGATCGCTGACTGCCTGAGTAGTGTCCTCTCTGTCTCTCCATCACAAATGCTGGGAGTGGAAAAGAAACCAAAGTAAGATTGCACTATTCTCACTGACTACTCCACACACAAAAAAAATGCTGAAAAGATTTTGTTAAATGAAAGCCATTGACAGATGTCTGTTCAGTTACATAGCTGACGTTTGGCAGGAACGCATGGTTTCTGAATACTAGTTTTTCTAGGAAATTGTAATGAGCACTACTTTTTTTTATATATAGGTAGCTTGATACCAAAGAGTTAGTGGAATAGCATCAGACATTCAGATGTTTAAAATATTTTCCGGTTGCCTTTCCCCTCCACCTCCATGACACATATTTAGCTGAGATAAATCCCTTACTCTTTTGATATCGAATTAGCTCAGGTGCCGTCTTATGAGACCTGTCGACTGGACTTTAGAAGTAACCATTCAGATGGTTCTGCACCCAGGTAGTGGGATTTTTCTCAGTCTGAAATGTTGCTTCATTTCAGTTGGTGCATTTTAAGAAGGATATGGTTAATGAGAATATATCCCTTTTCCAGGGAACATTCCAGCACATACCAATTGGTTCTCAGTGTATATAGATCAGTTCTGATGAGTTCTTTTTGATGGGTGGGTGACACTCCAATAAAGGGGTGGCTTCATTTCCATTAGGTCACCCCAATCATAATGCAGCTTTATGAAAATTGAATACTGTATATTAATTGTGGGCAAGATTTTGGAAACAGTGCAAAAATGCTATCATAGCTCCAACAGGTTGAGTTAATTCTTGCCACGTAATATAGCATCTGATAAGTGAATGTAGAATTATCATGGTCTGATGCATGACGGTGCATATAATTTCTTGTATATTCAGTGCAATCATCAACACTTTCTTCTTTCTCCTAGCCTCCAAGGCCAGTGACGAGCTATCCTCATTCTCCTGTACCAGGAAATCCCACTCCACCAATGACTCCAGGAAGCAGTATTCCACCGTACTTGTCTCCCAACCAGGATGTCAAACCACCCTTTCCACCAGACATCAAGCCCAATCTGAATTCTCTGCCTCCCCCGCCTCCAAGTGAGTAGGACGACAAAGACTGAATCAAATGTTTTGTAATGTTTGGATCAAGAAGAAATACAGGACATGCATCTATATAAAATCTCCTGTTTGGGTTAAATCGTTCTTGGCTACAGAGACTGGGGGAGAGGGGGGAGTAAACTTACCTTTTTCTGATGCTGCATTTTGATTGTAGCTGCTGCTGGATGCACATGGAGTAGATGTGTTGCTTGTTATGGTTAAATCATGGCTATAACTATCCCACTCTAATGTCAGCTGGAGGAAGCTGTGAACAGCTGGCAAAGAGGCGGAAATTGTTCAAGGGAGCATTTCAAACGAGGCCCCTTGTGATGAAATAAAAATACAATTGTTCCTGTATGGGAGATTCTAAAGGGAAAATTGACACATTTTCTCCCTCTTTGGTCTCAGCTAACCCCAACGACGAGCTACGGCTGACATTCCCAGTACGGGATGGCATCGTGCTGGAGCCTTTCCGACTGGAGCACAACCTTGCAGTCAGTAACCATGTCTTCCACTTGCGGCAGTCTGTGCACCAGACATTAATGTGGAGGTAAGAACAGCATTCGGTGACCCGCTGAGGCTCACTTAGCACGCTCCAGACATAAAACGCTGGCAGAGTTTAGAGAGCTGGTGGAGTCCTGTAGCTCAGTGGTTAGAGCACTTGCTTTGCAAGTGAGAGACCTGAGTTCAATTCCAGGCAGGGCAAAACCTTGGGCAAGTTTCCTTACTCCACACGCCTAATAATAATCCCTCCAAAAACAATAATAAATTGGTCATTATCAATCTACGACTGTTTGTGGGACATTGCTGTGCGCAATTGGCTGCCTCGTTCGCCCACAAATATACAGTCAATTCACTTTACAGTGTGTTGTGAAGCGCTTTGGGACGTCCTCTCGACGTGAAAAGCGCTATATCAAATGCAAGGATTATTATTATTACTATTTGGAATGGAGTGGTCCTTCTGCCAAAGGGTTGTTAGATGAGACGTTTTACCATTACCAGTGGAGGGCTTGCTCCCCAAAAGGGTTTGGGATTATTAGGTGAAATAGGGGCGCCAATTCAGCATAATTATCTACACGTTTAAAAACTTTCTCAATTTTCCGATATTGCCAGTCCGCCCCTGCGCATAACGTAAAGTTGTACAGTGTAATAGTATGAATTCTGTTGCACATTGTAGTGTCAAATCACTTTTGAGGAAAGCTGCCTTAGGAAAGCCCTACCATCGGTGGTCGGGCTTTCAGCCTCTCAGCCCCTAGGCTCTGGAACTCGATCCCCCAGTGCCTTCGCCTTGCTTCCTCCCTTTCCTCCTTCAAGGCCGGTCTCAAAACCTTTCTCTTTGTCCGAGCCTTCAGCTCCCCTCTCGACTCTCTTCCCCCTCCTCGCTCCCTCCCTTCCCTCACCCTGACCATTTCCCCCCTCCTCGCTCCCTCCCTTCCCTCCCCTCCCCCTGACCATTTTCCCCCCTGCTCGGGTCATGACCCAACTGTGCAGCGCCTTGGGACGTCCTCCTGACGTGAAAGGCGCTTTATAAATGGAATCTTGTTGTTGTTGTTGCCTGTTGTACGTGTGTCATCGTGTGCTCAGTGACTTTTTATCCTGATGGTTGTGTGGCTTGGTGCAGGCCTGCCTGCCAACTGCTGTAAGCTAACCTATGCCATATTCACACTTTCGTCCCAGCTGCCAGGTTGTCAGTACCTGCTGTGCACAGACCGGGGCTTCGAATCCAAGATGTGACCACAGTTCTTGGCACAGAGGATTGGAGCGAACTGGAGCACCTTGTGCACTGCATCCCTTTCTCACGCTAGCGCAGCTGTTCAATTTAGTGACTGACCTAAAGGCCTGGAGACCACTGTGGTGTGGGGTTGGCTCCAGCTAGAATGCTGGAGATGAGACGTATAATTAGAAAGAGGGAGGAAAAATCTATTCCATTTTGATTCCCATTCCCAATCTTCTCACCATATTTCTCAAATCCTTTTCTTTACTGAGATGCACCAGTAGTTGTAGGAAACCATTTCATGAATCACAGATTGAACGAGGACAGAAATAAGCCAATCAGGTGATCAAAACTATGATGTTTTTATCCAAAAAAAACATTCCTATGATCGTCTGCTTGGTGTGAGAATGTTAAGGTGATGCAGGTAAGGATACTCGCAATGAAACTGGGCTGCAATGTGTTTCAGGTCTGACTTGGAGCTTCAGTTTAAATGCTACCATCATGAAGACAGGCAGATGAACACAAACTGGCCTGCGTCTGTCCAGGTCAGTGTGAATGCAACACCACTCACCATCGAGCGGGGAGACAACAAGACCTCCCACAAGCCCTTGCATCTAAAGCATGTCTGTCAACCCGGAAGGAACACCATCCAGATTACTGTCACCGCTTGTTGCTGTGTAAGTATAACTCTATTTTATAAAATCCTTTTGTGAATCCCTGATGCGTCCTGGGGCTCTGAGTCACTGGTGGCTGAGCTGACAGGAGAATTCTGTAAATATTGTTCTGGTTCAGCGTTTGGAAGGCACACAAAAGAGCCAAGTGACTATGCCTTATCTAATCGATTAGTGATCAGGAATGGACGCCATAGCTACTAATTTTCCCTCTCAAGTCCAGTTCTTGACTAAGGCCAATTGTCGCGGCACAAATGGTGCCTTGGCTAAGACCTGCTAACTCTGCACAGGCTGGAGATGGAATATGTTACCTGGTGTATCTGTGGCTCAAGGGTTTAATGGCATATTTTGTTTCTATATGCTGCATGCATTTTTCCTGGTAAAATGGTGGATGTAGTTTGAGTACTGCCTGGGAAATTTCAAACCTGTTTTGTGTTGTAAGTGTTCTCATGGCTCTGTTATTATACAGTCTGCTTGTCAACTCTACTGATCCTCCTGTGCTGTATCTCCTTTGCAGTCACACTTGTTCGTACTTCAGTTAGTGCACAGACCAACAGTCCGGTCGGTACTTCAGGGCTTGCTCAAGAAGAGGCTTCTTCCTGCTGAACATTGCATCACAAAAAGTAAGTATTTATCATCTGAAATCAAGCCCCGTGTGTCCCAAAGAGCCTCATCCTGTTTGCAAGGAGGGAGAGCAGCTTCCTTATCTAAGGTTTCAGGGATATGGGGACCAAGGGAAGCACTGACATCGCTGAAATTTAGTTTGGACTTTGACTCCTCCTCCTGTGTTTGATAAACATGTTTTTAGTGGCTGTTTAAATATTGTCCTCAACAGAAGCCACTTTAAAAAAGTCCTCAACAGAAGTTGGTAGCGCTAGCTATTGCCTTGTTTCATCAATTATGAAGCAAACGTATTCTCTAATTTGTTGGGTCACTTATATGTTATATTACTGTCAGTTCCGAGTGGGTATAAATATTATTGTTGTAGTTACTGTGACAGCTTTACCAACCAGTCACAGGGGAATTGTATTTAAATTGGGCTGAAATGATCACTACTTCACCAGAGGGTAATAAATAGGCAGTTTCGCCTGGTGTCCTAGCCAAAAATACTCCAAATAAAATTGGTCATTCATTTCAATGCTGTATGCAAGTTAGTTGCCATGTTTTCCTGCAACATAGTCACAATACCTTACAGTAAATCCTGTGAAGCACTTTGACTGTGCCTATGGTCACCTCTCCTTCCCCATTTCTCTTGCTCGGTGTCCAATCGCATCTCTGTACAGCACTTTGAGATAATCCTGTGTGAAGGAAACTATTGATGCAAGTTGATTTTGTTGAATTCATTGACTCAAACAACCGAGAAATGAGAGTGAAATGTTCTCTTGTTTAACAGTAAAAAGGAATTTCAGCAGTGTGGCAGCTTCCTCGGGTAATGCCACATTAAACGGAGAAGATGGAGTGGAGCAGACAGCAATTAAGGTGTCCCTGAAGTGTCCAATCACATTCAGGCGGATTCAGCTTCCAGCAAGAGGCCATGACTGTAAGCACGTCCAGGTGAGTGTCGCTCCCACTTGTGTTTGATTTTGTGCCACTAAGCATTTCGAGGCTTTGTCCTATAGGACTTTCTCCGATAGAAGTGCAGGTGATTGTTCATCCATTGAACAGTTATAGCGCTTCACATAGTCAGTTACTTTTAGTTATTGCAGCACTGATCTTATTCAGCTAGAACTATCCTACTTATTAGGACTTTAGCTCATAAGGTTGGGGACCTGTCTATATCTCCAAGTCTCATTGATGAGCTGTTTGGTGCTCAACATAAGAACATGAGAATTTGTTAGGCGAAAGAAGACTGAGGTCTATCTAGTTCGCCTTCCACCATCCTGGCAGTCGCTTGACATGTCGTGTCCTAAACTCAACCATCAGCAGGGCCTTAGATTTCTGTAGACCTGCCTGAACTTTGCCAGGTGTCGAGAGTCAGTTCAGCACCAGATAGATCCCACCCTTGTTTCATTAGCCTTGAAAGGGTCAGTGCCTGAGTTGAGCAACCAGTGTTTGAACCTAGAACCTTCAAGGCAACTGACTGGATGTTTTGGATAGAGGTGGCAATGATTAATGAGATTTCCTGTGTTGTGTTTATTTGTGTCTGCAGTGCTTTGATTTGGAATCCTATTTGCAACTGAACTGTGAAAGAGGAACGTGGAGGTGTCCTGTATGCAAGTAAGTAGAGGATTTCAGCTAAATGGGAAAGAATGAGATGAAATAAAGTAATCGTGGGATTCCTCAATCTCATCAGTTAAACCAGAAAATGGTTGTTTTTGTTTATTTGACGTTTTGTGCTCCTGCTCACCATTTGCACATGTCTTATGGAAGAAAATAAAGCATTCTGTGCTCATATTCTCTTCATCAGGTGTTTGAGAATGAAACATTATTGCCATCCTCAAAGAATTAGCTCTGACTCAATGTTCTTGCATTCTTGAAGAAACCTCTGATTATGTTTAGAATTATTTACACAACAAATCAGTTAATATTATTCTTCCTTGATAACAGTAAAACAGCAGTCCTGGAAGGCCTTGAAGTTGACCAGTACATGTGGAGCATCCTGTCAAATATTCAGAAGTAAGTTGTTTTTTTTGATTATTCTTTATTCAAGGTTTTCAATTATGATTGACCTAGCTCATTCGATAGCCTGTGAGAGAGTACACAGCCTGGTGAGGCGCTGACACTGACCATACTGACCTGTTCTGTGCTGAATTAGTTGATCTCATCTCAATAGCAATTGTGGCACTCTTATTTGTCTCAGTGGCTCCATGCTAGCGAGTTTGTTTGGAGGAGCACAAGTAGTCATAGCAGTAAGTGCAGCCAAAGAGGAATGTCTTGAGGCGGATCTTGAAAGAGGCAAGGGAAACAGAAATGATGACTTACAAAGTCACTTATAAATTGACGACTTGCACTAAGATCTCAAGCTGAAGATCACGCATTCCATTTCAAATACTATTCATCCATCTCAAATATTATTCATATGCTGCCTTTCATAATTTGAATACTCCAGGGACTGATTTACAACGAGGAGTTCCACATAATGTGGAAGGGCTGGATTAAAGGGCTGTCTGCACAAGCCAGTCACTACTCCCATTCTTGTTAATCTCGTCCCCTTCCTTCAAAGGGCTTCCATATTCAATGCTGAATAACAGATGTATACTTAAAGTGTAAAGTTTTAAGTATTATTACAAGGTGTAGATGATCAGCTACACACTTGTAAGGGTTGTATTCGGATTCTCTGACTGTTCTGCTTCCAACAATTGCTCGAAGCTCCTTTGTTATATACTCTTTTGGTCCACTACAAAACTCTGAAACAGAATGATCTCATCCCTAATCTAAAGGTCATTGGTACCAGGTTCTTGCAGGACACTAAATTAATGAGCATCTCGACTATCCATCTATACTATCTGAGAGTTCTTGGTACAAAGTTCTACAAACCCCCAACTAATGAGTATTTTGACTATCCATCAATGTTATCAGGACATCTTTATCTTTCCTTTAGTACTCTGTTGGTCAAAGGTATCTTACTAATTGGGCACTACCTCTTACCAATTGGGTACTAGTACTAAATCTCTATATAATGCACATTCCTGTGGTAACACCTTGCAAATGTGTACCAGATTACAGATGCAGCCAGTCAGTAATTAGCATAGCCTTCTCTCTGGTTTGCATTGGTTAACTGTTGCAGTGCCGACACATCTGACAAGTCTCTCTGTCCTGTAACGTGTTTCAAAAGAACTTGAAGTGTTTCAATTCAAGACCATTTTTTTCATTGGTGCCCAGGGCTTTAATAACACTTGTTTAGTGTTTGTCATTCATCATACATCTAACATCAAACATCGCGTAATTGAAATCCACCAAAAATCCAATCTTCCCTCCATGCCGCTACATGCATCTCTACGAATACCAATTCTTCCAATCTACCAAAACACGTTAGTGTTGACATGAACATCTCAGCCATATACATATCGACGAGCACAAGAGCTGGCGGACGATATTAAATAGCTTTTAATCAGTGGATCAGTGGGTTCTATTGTTCTTTACTTTGTGTCACTGCAGCTCTGAGTTTGAAGAGGTCACCATTGATCCGACGTGCAGCTGGAGGCCAGTTCCGTTAAAGTCTGACATTCACATTAAAGATGATCCAGATGGCCCCCTGTCCAAGAGGTTTAAGACCATGAGTCCCAGCCAGATGATTATGCCAAATGTCATGGAGATGATTGCAGCCCTTGGGCCGGGTCCATCGCCATACCCATCCCTGCCTCCGCCTCCGGGAGGCAACAATGCCAGTGAATATGGCAGCCAGGGTAGGTTTCACAGGACATTTTATCATTTTGCTTTGTTATAAAATAAAACTGGAATGTATCTATAATGCTAAGAATCTGCTGTTAGGCAGTCAGACCATTTGTGATTCTTCTCATCATTCTGTGCAGTTCAGTATTGTATAGACTGATGTGTTTAGCTGATATGTAGGTTTGGAAATGATCTGTTTGACGGCAGGATATTGTTGAATGTTTCAGAATCTATTCCTATTTCTGAGGATCGGCACAGAAAATTACCTAATCTGGTCTGTCTGAGAGCAGAGGCTTTTAATAGTGAATGTTGTGTTATTATAGGAACAGATGCCAAATGCCCAGACCTATTTTCATTTAATAATAATAATCCTTGCATTTGATATAGCGCTTTTCATGTCGGGAGGACGTCCCAAAGCGCTTGAATTTGGGTAAATTATAGCTGTTGTAGAAATTGTCTAAAGCCCACTGTGAAGTTTCAGTGTAGAATCTGCAATAGAAGATGTCTTGGGTGTCAGAGGTTGTAACTGCAGGCCGTTGTCTTTTTGAATGGACTATAAATTTATAGTCCACTCAACCTCACCAAGCCAGTCTGAAACCTGGGTGTCTTGTTGGACCCTGAACTGTCCTTTGCCCCCCACATCCACGCCACGAATGGCACTGCCTACCACCACCTCTGCAACATTGCCAGACTCTTCCACTGCCTCACCCTTCAGGCTGTTGAAACCCTCACTCACGCATTCGTCACATCAAGGCTCGCTTATGGAAACTCCCTTCTTGTCGGCCTTCACAAGCAGCAGTTTATCCAAAACTCTGCAGCTTGTGTACTCTTGCGTACCAGGCTCCGTGAACACATCACTCCCACCCTCGCCTGACTCCACTGGCCTTCTATCCCTCAGAGGATCAAATTCAAGATCCTCATCCTCACTTTCAAGGCCACCCATGGACTTGCCCCCTCCTACCTCTCTGATCTGCTGACTCCCTACCAACCTGCCCACTCCCTTCATTCAGCGGGCTCCGGCCTGCTCCATGTCTCCCACCCGACCCGTCCTACCATTGGTGGCTGGGCTTTCAGCCTCTCTGCCGCCACACCCTGGAATTCCATCCCACAGTCCCTTCGCCTCGCTTCCTCCCTTGCCTCCTTCAAGGCCGGTCTCAAGACCCTCCACTTCAATCGTCCTCCCACCTCTCTGCCTTCCCTCACTCCTACCCCACCCCTCCCCCAGGCTCGGGTCCTGATCCCCGACTTGGGACATTCCTCCCACCATGAAAGGCGCTCTATAAATGTAATTTTGTTGTTTTGTTGTTAAGCAGGGAATCTTTGGGTTTGACCTGGATGTGATGTTGTGGGAAGTACTGAGCCCTGACAAACGCACTTGGAACAGATGCCGGGTTTCACTCACGGTTTTGGTGCGGTGCCTTGGAGGTGAAACCAAAACGGGCTTAAAAATAGTCAGGAGTGGTTCAGACTCTATTTGGAGATTTTCATACAGAACACCTGAGTTAGTTTAGGGAATTGATATTTAGAGGAATGCAAATTATCCTAATTTTCAATTCTGACATGACATCCTCTGAACGTGCAATGTTTAGGAATGGGTAAAAGTCAGGAAAGGTACTTTTTCGATCAAGCAAGGTTAAGCTCACATGATTATGTGGGACTTTATTCAGAGGTGAATGAGAAATGTTCCATTTTTTCCCCCGTTTCCCTTCAACTTAATGGCCAGCTTGAAAGATATTCTGAGGTTATGTCGATGGTCAGTGATATGGCAAGAGTTTCAAAGGGCGGTCAGTGCACAAAGAGTAGACACCCTGTCCTGTGTGATCGTCGAAGGAATAGATTGGTGTGTAGGCTGCTCTACTTCATCTGAAGCCATATCAGTCTTGACAAGATGCGGTTTGTTGTGAAGATAAATTTACTTAATAATTTCCTGTCATAATCCTCCTAAAAGGTAACAATTACCCCAGCCATGGGAACTTCGATTTTCCACATGGCAACCCTGCTGGTACTTCCATGAACGACTTCATGCATGGGCCCCAGTTGTCACATCCTCCAGACATGCCTAACAGCCTTATGACTCCCGACAAGCCTCTCAGCCACTCCATGCCTGACCAGGTAAGTGACAGCATTTCCATCTGTTCTGGGTGTGGGTCTCTTTCTCTATCTGTGTCTGTCCCAATCATAACCTTTGGGTTTGCACATGGGACACATTCAGCTTCAGTGATGTCCAGTGAGGGCTCTACATTTGTGATAAAACTGCAAGTGCAAAGTTACTCAACACACAGATGGGTGGAGGGTGCAGATAACATGAGACCGAGGGAAAACCCAGTGAAAGAGCTTACCCAGTTTGGTTGCTGAAATACTACATACAGAACACGACAGATGGTAACAGTACATCTCCCATGTAAAGAGCCATTTGAGCTAATTCTCTGCAAATACTGCTGTCTGGTTTGATTCTGAGTGTGTAATGCAGTCTGAAATGTTTTTTTTGTTATATACAGCACTGACATTTTTCATCTGCCTTGTTTTCCTCTCATACAAATTCGGTCTGCTTCTGTATGTGTTTATTTCACTGTTGTTTCACACAGCGTGAATACAAGGGCAATTAGCACTTTATGTTGTTAAAGTTGCTACAAACATCTCATTGTTTTGTTACTCACTGACAAACACAAAGGAGGCAAAGGATGTCAAAGGGTTACTTTTACCTAAGTTGTGTGACCGTATTCTGCGTTGATGGTGTAAACATTTTTTTAAAAAAGTTTTAACTTTTACCCCTACTGGATCCAAAAATATTGGAGCTTAATTTTTAAATTCAGCAGTACTTATTGCAATACTATCACCATTTTGGGATGGACTCTTCTTTCTCTTCCCGACCCATTCCCTCAGCCCCCACCCCCCACCCAAAAATCTATCTTGCATTCAAAGGAGGCTTTTTTTCTGCTCATCGCAACCTACTGCTAAGCAGCAGACAAACCCTTGCTAAACCTCAAGCTATCCATGATTGCGCTGAGCTTTAAGTGCACACACAGGCTTCTGGGACCTTTCACTGCTCTCCACCAGAACAATGGTGGTCATGTATTGGCTTATCTGACTTTCTGATACTGAAAAGCATCTGCTGTCATTACCAAGCTTTTCCTGGAGTACTAACCTGCTTCTAACCATACACACACAGCGGGAGGAGGAGGGAAGGTTGTGTTTTATTGTTCTTTCTTCAACTCTGCAGTATTTAGCTGACAGGAAGTCTTTTGTTTAAATCGGGGAAAAGGAAATGGAAGGATAGTCCAAGATCCAAATTTAACCTGGTAAAAAACATCTAGCGGGCTTTAAATGTGTGTAGAGAGTGAGGTCCAAATGGGCGATGTTTGCAAACCGACTTGGTTGCGTTAATTGTGACTTCTGGTCTGCAAATCCCTTTATTCTGTGAGATTGGTAAAATGGCTAGTTGCAAATTATATAATTATATAATTATAACCAGGCATTTTACAGCCAGAGGGTGACACCATGCTCTTCATTCCTAGACTTAGGCAGCAAAATGTTTAGTCATTTTGTGAACAATTTCAAAGCACACCTCAATGTTTATTCAAGACAGTATCTTTTTCTGTAAAGAGAGGGTTTCACAGCGCCTGTCCTATCAATCCATAAAGTCAAGTAGGTCTTATTTTGGTCTGACTTCAAATCTCAGCACAAGTTTTTAAAAATAACATTTGTCGCTTTATCTTTGTAACTATTGATTACCACAAATAGGTCCAGGTTTGCAGTTCATATCCAATACACCTCTTTTTAAAAAAAAAACAACTTGTAGTTTAGCAGAGCTTATTTTTGTTGATGGCTTTAGTTCAGGGGAGTCGGATTTGTTTTAAATAACACATTAAAGTAAATTTCAGTCCAAATCAATAGTTTCCCTTTAGAATCTTACAGCACAGAAAGAGGCCATTAGGCCTATCGTGCCTGTGTTGGCTGTTTGAAAGAGCCATCCAATTAATCCCATTGCCTGCTCTTTCCCCATAGCTTTGCAAATCTTTCCTTTTGAAGTATATATCCAATTCCCGTTTGAAAGTTATTATTATTGAATCTGCTTCCACTACTCTTTCAGGCAGTGCATTCCAGATCGTAATAACTCGCTGTACAGTTTGAGTAGGAAGGACTGAGCTGCCAGCAATGGCAAGTGCACATGCTGGGCTGTAATGTTTAAAAATGAACCTTAGTGCTTAGGCAATGTGCATCCTCTAGAAGTAGGATCACCAGAGTGATTACAGGCCAATATAACAGCAGGTAGTTAGAGTCACTGAGGCAATTCTTAATGCTGCAGAGTTGGACTTTCTTTCGAGTCTGCAGTAAGATGTAAGTTTTCTTAGGTTGGGGGCGGGGGAGTGGTTTGGCTTTCTGTCATGTCTAATGGCTGGGTTTGGTGTTTAACATACAGTCGGTGGTTTCATTCTTCAGACATCTTGAGCACTGTACCTTGTGGCCTCACTCTTTCCTGCTTCCTCCTTCGCAGATCCCTCATCCTGGCAGTACTGATCAGTCCCATAGTTCCATGCAGCAAGGTTTGCACGCACCTCACCCCAGCAGCCAGTCAGGGCAGCCATTACATCACAGTGGTCCTACCCAGCAGTCCAGGCAGCCCCAGCAGGCTGGTTCTAGCAACCATCCACACAGTGATCTGACCTTTAACCCGTCCTCCACCTTGGAAGGTCAGGCTGGTGGTCAGGGAACGTCCGACATGCCGGAACCCTCACTGGATGTAAGTGTGTGTCATGCTCTCATCTGCCTGCCCATCCACTGCTAGCAAATTCTGGGCACAGCAAAGCGCCTCATGTCACATCATTGTTTCATACATTTTCACGTGTTACCTTGTACCGCAGCAGTCTAGGGAGAGAGAGAGAGCAGCTTGCCAGGCTGCCTCATTCACCTGTCTCGTTTTTTAAGCTATCACTTTATTTATTGCATGTTATGTCAAAATGACTAATTTGACTCAACAGAAAAGGACCAAGTGGAGTGAATAAGGGTACAATGATTGCCGTACCCATTCCGAAAATGGGCCACATCAGATTTTATGGGCCACATCAGATTTTAGCACCAGTGGCCACTGAGGCTGTTATGAAGTCTAAGATTAAAAGACTGTTTGTTCCACAAATGCATTCCTAACGTGATCTGTTTTCTTTGCGTAGTGTTATTCTGAGTGAAATATTCATGAAACAGTAACGATGGTTTGCACGACTGCACGAGACCCTGATAGGAGGGCTGCCTCCTGATCGGCACTGGCACCACATAGTGAATGATGATGCAGTCAGTGTAAGCTGGAATGGGCAGTCTGTTAGTCAGAGCGTTGCTTGAGCCACAGAAGGTCTGGGTTTGAACTTGGCTCCAAGCAATGGGAAAGAAAGTTTCCCACCCTCGTCGCTGATTGTAAGGTCCTTTGTGAAATGCGTTTGAGCACTCGCAGCCCGTCTCCTAGCATGCACAGACCCACGGCACTAAACTGCTCTAAATGCAACGCAATTCAACTTTAAATCATTGATTGTTACTCATAAGATTTTGAAGATGAAAATATTGTATTTCTGAGGTTAGAGCTTATAAGAGACAATGGTTGGAGCCAAAGAGAAAAGGGTTTTTCTCTGGATCTACTCAGGCAGGTTATGTCTGGTCTGAGAGAGCTTGAGTTCAGACCCAATAGATCTGGCCCCACTACTGACATGTCTCACTTTGATGGGCATAAAAGTTCACTATAACCGCTGTGCGACTGTGATTTTGCAAAGAGTTAACATGCAATGAAAATTGATCACGTTACCAAGGCCAGCTTTTGTGGTTCCTGCAAGTGTTTCAGTTTTGAACTTTATAAGCGTCTCAGTGTATTGATTGATGGAGCTTTGGTGCCTTTAACTCGGTGAGGAATCTCTCAAAGATGATGAATATTCCCAATAACATTCATGGGAAAGTGTTATTGAAAGTGGAATAGTCCACAACAAAGGGTATCAGTTTAAAGGTTTAATTTTGGTTTTGCCGACAAACCCTTTCCAAGTGTATTTTTTTGTCTGTGATTTGTGTGGGTGAGAAACAGATACTCAGCCGCGTGGGTGTGTTGACAAACGACCTCTTTGTTAGTCACTGCTCATCCCTGCCCATGTCAGACCCAGTGGGGTGGTGGCAGGGCAGTGCATGCCTTTTCTGAACCAAACAAAAGGCTCCAGCTTTCTCCTCCAGGAATGGAGGTGACCCGTGAAGCGGCTTGTGTTCGAAGCAGGGTATTGGGCGAGTGGCCTTTTTTTAAAAAAAATAATAAAATGGTAAAAAGCAGCATCTTTTATTTTTGAATTCTTGTAGCTTGGAATAAATTTTGTTTAATTGTTTATAACTCTTTTGGTGTGGCTGCTGAGTAAGTATTGTACCCGGCGATAAATTTCGTAACATTGAACGCTTCTTTCTGGTTCCTTGCAGCTTATTCCAGAATTCACAAATCCAGACGAGCTCCTCTCCTACCTTGGCCCTCCCGACTTGCCCAGCAATAGCAATGATGACCTACTTTCTCTTTTTGAGACCAACTGAAGCCCTATCCATCCATGTGTTCTCACCAAGTAGCCACACAAAGTCACCCTTTTCCGCAAGCGTTCACAAACTAGATGAAATGGTGCATCCAGGCTCTTCCTCCCCCTTGGGACGATCACCTTATCCGGTTACACTGACTGAAAGCAATGGGAGGGGGTGGGCAGCGGGTGCTGAGAGGGGCTGGGGGAAATACAACTGTTTGGTGCAGCAGGCTCGCCAGAAACATCACTCACAATCATACAAACTCCTGTAACTTTAACGAGTCACGGTTCTGTGGACACGTAGGAAAAGCCCATTGTGTAAAGCATCCAAGCATCAAATCTGAGAATCTGAACTGAAAGTTGGGAAGAAGTGCCCTTATCGGCCACGTTTGCTCTTCCCGATTTTGTTTCCCCCTCTTCCCCCTCATCACTCCTTCCACGCAAAGTTCTTCCACTCCAGAAACGAAGCTCCTCCAAGCAGCAGCTGTAGGATCAGCAGAAGACAAACTGACTGAGGAGGGACAAATGGAGAAACATTAGGTCGGACTGGCAACTCCAAAGCACAAGATACTGGCCTAAATGTCCAATTGGGAATATGTGTGTACCAAAAAGTGAAAGGGAAGTTGTGGCCTCCGCATTTGAGGAGTCTTCAGTTTGCCGCTATTTTTCATTCTACTTCAGTGTATATATAGTGAGATTTTTCTTGTTTGCTTTTTATTTGTGTTTTTATTTTGTGTTCTATTCTGCAACACGAGGAGGGACTTGTTGATCTGGAAGTGAGACGCATCCAAGAGCGTCACTTGCAGCACTTAACAAGACTTAACTGCAAATCACAGGTGTCTAACTGGTACCTCATGCCAGTGTCTCATTCTATCTGTTATGATGGGATCGAGGTGAGGGGGTTAGGGAGGGAAGGGAGAAAGGTCTGGATGTTTGAAGCTCGATCTTAAAAGAGAAGACATTGCATTTGTCTTCTGATTTTTTAATACTGATGTTAATATTCACTCTGTGGCAAAGGCAGCAATTCTTTGCTAGCAAGTGGTCTAGTTTGCTGGAAAAAGAATCAATCCTGCAGAAACGGAGGAAGCCAGTACCCTATAATAATTGAGTCGGAAGTTAGAAAGGATCTCCCACTTTCACTGCTGAGAATTAACTGCAGCATTTCTTGAAGACTGGTTACACGTGATTCTCTTCTCTGCTGTCAGCATTTTTTTGGAGAGGGACAGGGGTGGGTTGGGGGAGATTGGGAGACACTGTTTTGAAATTGCTGGTAGCTGTTCTACCATGGAGTCAGAGCCAATGTCTTGCTTCCTTGAGGCTTTTTTTTTCTGTGACAACTCTCTTCACCTGCATGAGTTCCAAGTTGCTTCTGTCCTCATTTTGTGCTGGTGTATCTCAACAGTTTTGTACAGTAGTTGTCTAAGGGGTGGGGGGGGGGAGTTAAAAAAAAATAAACCTGCATGTGTGTGCGTGTCACCCGCCCCCGCCCTGTGCAGTGCAAACACAGACTGACCATGTGTGGTTTGATTTTTCTACCACTGAATTGGGTTATTCTCCTCAAGCCCCTTTTTTTTTGTAGAAAAAAAATTTGCATTTTAATCTGTGACACTACCTGTGCTACAAAATTACAAGTGCCAGAGGGATTTGTTGCATCTCCAACTCTTTCTTTGTGTTCCTTTTTTTATTATTATTATTATGCAGATACATTTTTTGTTCCTGTATTACAAACAACATGAACTGAGCTTGCCACTGGAAGCTTGGGCAATGCTTTTATCACCAAAGTCACCGTTGTACAAAAAAAGTTTTGTTTTTCGCTCCTTTTTAAAAGAATCTGATCCATCACTGCTGTATGTGCATAGTAATATATGCTAGTTATCAGTACTCAGCTGTAGATATTAAAATGAATGGCTATTTGCCTTTGCTAGTAGCAGTATTGAAGCTGTAATCGTCATGTAGAGAGTTGCCACGTAATTGATCACCTTCGAGTTTTTTCTATTTCGAGTTAAAGGCAATGTTCAGTATGCAAATCGATTATTTTAAAATGCTATTGTAAATACCTTTGTGAATATTTTAGTATCGTCTTTGATAATATTCAACATTTTCATGATCAGATTGGTTGTCTTTTACCTGTGGTTTTTAAGTACATTGTCCGGTAAATCGTGGTCCCATTTTCATAAAGGGTTCTTCTACAGAACAGAGGAGCATTTCTCAACCTAAAAGCCTACATTCGGCACAAGTTACAAAGAAAGTATTTCTTCCTTTCTTAACCCTCTAAACTTATCACATGTGCTCCATTAAATGGAGAAGTCAGTTCCTAGTACCGTTAATTTTCTTTTTAAGTGGATGACGTGATTTCCAGTAAAAGGTTATCCATTCACTCGTCAGGAAGTTATGGTGAGAAGATAGTTTATTATAAAATTCTGTTCCTTGGTTTTTGTCATTCTTTGTATTATTGTAAGGGCAATGTGTTAAACTTCCATACAATTGTTTTAAACATGCTGCTGCTCACTGGACTGTGCAGATAATAGGTGTCAGCAACATATGTTGAACCCAAGGTGATTGAGACATGGGTACGTACAAATGAGGTATGTAAGGTTTGTGTCAGGAATTTACAGCTAAAATGATTCAGTAAATCAGTATGGGGGGTGGGAGCGAGAGAAGGGAAAGTGATTTGTTATCCAGTTTTATTCACTTAACAGAAACATTGAGTTATCAGGTTCAAAAAGTGGAGTTGGCTGTATTTGTTCTATTGAAAGGGAGTTGAGCAGTTTTTTAAAAAATATTTGACGACAATATGTTAAACCTGTGTCGTTTTCCACTGATTTGGGGCATGGATGCGAATGATTGCCCACATTTAGGTCAGCTTAGAGGGTTACGTATACTGCCTGTTGTGTGGTAAATCTAAAATCGACTGCAGATGTGAGCATCTAACACTCTCAAGAGCACCTGTTGGAGGGCTCAGACGACCTGATGGCAAGTGGTCACTTTCTGCTCCACTGCTCCAAACCTGGCTTCTGCTTGTGTGGATGCGTCGGGACGAATTTCTATAAACCCTTTTTTTATTCTTCCCATTTAAACAGCAGCAAAGGTACTGATTGATAAATGGGAACTGTTTGTTTGAAACAGCTTCAACAGAACACATAGGACAAGTGAGGAGTCTCCAATGACAAACAAATGATGCACTGCCAATGTATTTTTCCAAAAAAAGTCTAACATGTTATAATGTTATTTTAAAAACACACACACACATAAATCTACTGGTGAGCGAGCACTAGCATGCAGTCTTGATATTTTTGTGTAGAGCTGTTTCACATGTCTAGTCCCAGGGGGTTTATAACAAGTCATTGTGGAGGTCTGGCTGGGAAGGGAACCCCAGACATCTCTGTAAGGGCTTCTGCAAGGACAAAAAGACAGAGAGAAAAAAAATGTCAAAAAGACATCATCTGGTGCAGGGACTAATGGACATCTGTACATATGTAAATGACAAAGGGAGACATGTTCAATGTTAACAGAAGTGCATTCATTTTCCTGGAATGTGCATTGTTTCAATGAGTTTGCAATCCATCAGAAGTGACTGTGTGGAAAATGAATTCTGTTCGTTAGCTCTTGTGAAGTCTCTGCAATCGTTTCACTTCTGTAATATACGATCCTTCAGAAAAAGAACTTTTGTTTTACCCACATGTAATATTTAGCTTCAGTGTATTACTTAGTTGATCACCTGTGTATTTTTTAAGGTGCTACAAAATTAATGAAGAAAATGAGGGGGTTAAAAAAAAGATTGTAACCAAATTCACGAGTTTGTACAATTTTTGATATCATGATCATTCAAGAATTCAAAAAGGGTACAATCTACTGTCACATGCAAAAATGGCCATTTTTTTTGTTTGTACATTGTATGTACAATGCAATCATTTCATACTTTAAACTGGTCAGAAAACTAATTGTGATTTTTAGTCTTGCAAACTGTATGTAGTTAGATGATGTGACAACCTAATATTTATCTAATAAATATGTATTCAGATGAAACCGTGTGCATCCAGCTTTGTTTATCTCTCGTTGCCAGTAACATAGAAAGCATGAAAGTCTCAGTACAAGTGATTCTTGGTAACAACAACTTGCATTTATATAGCATCCCGGAGTGCTTGGTACACACACATTGCACAAACACACATGACAAAATTACATTTGACAAAGGGAGATGTGATCAATTTTGACAGCACTGTATACATTTTTGTGGAATGGGCAACAGGCTTATGAGTAGTAAGTCAGTGCTCAAACTTTGAAACTGACCGTTGTCTGCCACCACATCTCTTTGTTCAGAAGCGCCAAAGCTGATTTTCGTGCTGTCTCCCAAAAAATCAACTATTGGAACTAAACCCCGAGACCTTCTCAGCCTGTGAAATGGTTCTGCAGTGGCTGTGGATTTATTTAACTGCTGACTCAATGGCCGAAATGTTCGGTAACATAAAATGGTGCGGTGGTTCAGAAATTCATCATGAAAGATATTCTAAATGGATCATGGAAGGGATGATGACAGCACCTCTTTGAGTGGGAGGAAAAGGTGTATGGCTGGAGGTGGCAGGATCCCTGTATCAGTCATGACGCTGCGGGTAGGCTGTGTGCATGGAGAGACGAGGAGCTTCCCCCCCAAAAAATGAGTGCAGTTTCAGTGACACCGGTAGAAACACAGCAGACTGAGAATGAGAGGGCAGTTATTAACGGGGGGGAACCCTGGGGAGATTAGCATTGTGCTTATAAGACAGAATCAAAATGTTTGGCAACATTTTGTTGTTGTGAATGCTTTCCCTTCCTTTGTATTTGTTTTGAAAAAACAAACAATTCTGCTTGCCAAACCCACCTAAACAAGCACTGGAACTTGTTCATTATTCAGGTCTTCAGCCTTTCTGCCCTCACCCTCTGCGACTCCATTTCAGAGCCCCTCCACCTCACCCACTCCCTTGCCTCCTTCAAAGCCCATCTCGAGACCTTAACCTTTGTCCGGCCTTATCTCTTCTCCCCCCCCCCCACCCCCACCACCCCACCCCACACGCAAAACAGTCAGTACATTTTATTGTACACAACAGTGAAGCGCTTTCAGGATTGTCTTCCTGAGGTGGACAGCGCGACATCAAGTTGTGAGGAATATTATCATCACTTATACTGGGGACAAGTCATTCAACCACGTGTTACTTGGTCACCGGGAAGGGAAGGCTGGGGTTGAGAGTTTGCATTAATAATAATAATAACAAAAGAAACACATACACAGAAGTCTGTTTGCCAAACCAGAGTGAAATGCATCCCAACACATTGTGTTTCAGATCACAATCAGACTTGACATGACACATGACTGACAGCCAAGAGAGAGGCTTAGAGAGGCTTCTCCGCAATGGTGAAAGCTCAGCCCTGAGCCCTCCTGGAGCTGGGCATGGGCTGGGCTTCTCCTGGGACTGGGCTTGTGCTGGGGCTGTGCTGGGCTGGTCCTATGCTGGGCTTGTGCTGGGGCTGGGCTTGTCATGTCCTGGGCTGTGCTGGGACGGGGCTGTCCTGTGCTGGGGGTGGGCCTGTCCTGGGCTGTGCTGGGGGTGGTCCTGTCCTGGGCTGGGGCTGTCCTGGGCTGTGCTGGGGGTGGGCCTGTGCTGTGCTGGGGTGGGCTGTGCTGGGGCTGTGCTGGGGGTGGGCCTGTCCTGTGCTGGGGCGGGGCTGTGCTGGGGGTGGGGCTGTGCTGGGGCGGGGCTGTGCTGGGGGTGGGCCTGTCCTGTGCTGGGGTGGGGCTGTGCTGGGGGTGGGCCTGTCCTGTGCTGTGCTGGGGGTGGGCCTGTGCTGGGCTGGGGGTGGGCCTGTGCTGGGCTGTGCTGGGCTTGTGCTGGGGTGGGCCTGTCCTGTGCTGTGCTGGGGTGGGCCTGTGCTGGGGCGGGGCTGGGCTGGGGGTGGGCCTGTCCTGTCCTGTGCTGGGGCTGCGCTGGGCCTGTCCTGTCCTGGGCTGTGCTGGGGCTGTGCTGGGGGTGGGCCTGTCCTGGGCTGTGCTGGGGCGGGGCTGGGGGTGGGCCTGTCCTGTCCTGGGCTGTGCTGGGGCGGGGCTGGGGGTGGGCCTGTCCTGTGCTGGGCTGTGCTGTGCTGGGCCTGTCCTGTCCTGGGCTCGGCTGTTGCCTGCGATGCCGCCCCTCCAGTGACTCGCACCCGAGCTCCGCTTCCTTCCGCCGCGCAGAGCAGAGAGTGCCGCCCCCCCTGTGAGCGTCCCGCGGCCTCGCCCAGCGATCATGTCCCTCCCGACGGCCCGAGCGTTGCTCCTCCGGGGCTGCACCGGCACCGGCACCGGCACCGCCTCTCTCCGCCGCCTCCTCCTCCCGACCGCGGCTCCTCCTCCCGCCGCAGAGAAAAACCCTGTGGTTTACATCCAGGTCTCGGTGGACAAGGAACCATTGGGCCAAGTCACGATTGAGGTGAGATGACCTTCACCATCTGGAGCCAGAAACACACACACACAGACCTGGGGGCACAGGGAGCGAGACCTGAGGGCACAGGGAGAGAGACCTGAGGGCACAGGGAGAGAGACCTGAGGGCACAGGGAGAGAGACCTGAGGGCACAGGGAGAGAGACCTGAGGGCACAGGGAGAGAGACCTGAGGGCACAGGGAGAGAGACCTGAGGGCACAGGGAGAGAGACCTGAGGGCACAGGGAGAGAGACCTGAGGGCACAGGGAGAGAGACCTGAGGGCACAGGGAGAGAGACCTGAGGGCACAGGGAGAGAGATCTGGGGGCACAGGGAGAGAGACCTGAGGGCACAGGGAGAGAGACCTGAGGGCACAGGGAGAGAGACCTGAGGGCACAGGGAGAGAGACCTGAGGGCACAGGGAGAGAGACCTGAGGGCACAGGGAGAGAGACCTGAGGGCACAGGGAGAGAGACCTGGGGGCACAGGGAGAGAGACCTGAGGGCACAGGGAGAGAGACCTGAGGGCACAGGGAGAGAGACCTGAGGGCACAGGGAGAGAGACCTGAGGGCACAGGGAGAGAGACCTGAGGGCACAGGGAGAGAGACCTGAGGGCACAGGGAGAGAGACCTGAGGGCACAGGGAGAGAGACCTGAGGGCACAGGGAGAGAGACCTGAGGGCACAGGGAGAGAGACCTGAGGGCACAGGGAGAGAGACCTGAGGGCACAGGGAGAGAGACCTGAGGGCACAGGGAGAGAGACCTGGGGCACAGGGAGAGAGACCTGGGGCACAGGGAGAGAGACCTGAGGGCACAGGGAGCGAGACCTGAGGGCACAGGGAGCGAGACCTGAGGGCACAGGGAGAGAGACCTGGGGGCACAGGGAGCGAGACCTGGGGGCACGGAGGGAGCGAGACCTGGGGGCACAGGGAGAGAGACCTGGGGGCACAGGGAGAGAGAGACCTGGGGGCAGACACAGAAAGCCATTGGGTTCCATGGACAGAGTGCATTAAAACCCGACTTACCCCCCAACCCCAAGAAGGAAGATGGTCATTTGACATGTGAAAAGTGCAGGTTTGAGCCCTCACTCGGTGGACAGCAGATACCAGGAACTCCCTGTTAGTGTCTGTTGTCTTATGAAACCATTTAGCTCCGCAACAAAACAGTTAGGACTGTCAGACCTCACATGTAACTGCCATGAAGTGGAATGAATGTCTGTACTTGTAGGCGAATGTAGCAGCCAATTTGCGAACAACAATTTCCCACAAAGTTGTCCATTTTTCTGTGCGGTCTTATATTTCAAATGTGAAGTGTAAGGTTTTAAGGTAAGTCAACCTATCCCCACTGCTGATCACCTCAGTAGCAGAGCAACGCATGGAAGGTTGCCATTTTGGTATTTATCGATAGCTTTACAAGACGTCTATTACAACTTTTTAAAAGAAAGTACAAGTTCCAATACAATACAGAATTACATTTGTTCAGCGCCTTTCATATCGGGAGGACGTCCCAAGGCCCTGGATGGTCGCTGGGGGTCGGGATCAGGGTGGGTAGAAGGGTGGTCGAAGGGCTCAGTTGAAGAAGAGGAATTTAAGAAGCGGCTTGAAGGAGGAAACGAGGCAAAGGGAATATGGAATGGAATTGCATAGGGTGGGGGCAGAAAGGCTGAAGGCCTGACTGCCAATGGGGCCGGGCAGGGGACGTGGAGTAAGCCAAAGCCTGTTGAGCAGAGGAAGCGGACAGGTTGATATGGGGTCAGCAGGTCGCAGTGGTAGGGAGGGCAAGAGGGCCTTGAAGGCGAGGACGAGGATTTTGATCTCTATCCTCTGGGGGATTGGTTGCCAGTGGAGGCGGGCAAGAGTGGCTATGATGGGTTCATGGAGCCTAGTGCGTGTGTTGTTATTTAGGAAAGGCTTCTCATTATAAACACCAAATTAATGAACAACCTGACAATCCCAAATGGGTGTAATCACGGTTTATTGTAACATAAGTAAAATCATCAATGCAAAATGTTTCAAGCAATAATTACAGAATCAAGACCGTGGACAGTAGATGACACAGCCCCTGGAGTTCCTTCTTCTCTACTTCTTGAACTACTGTTATTCTCTGCTTAGCAAACTGAACCAAAAGCATATTACCTACTACGCCTCCTCTTTCGCTTTTAATGGTCACTTTCTTATTGGAGGTAAATTCCCTCGCCCCTGTACGTATACATAGATACAGTAGAATCAATATTGATTCCACTGGGAAGTGTGCTGACCCTCTACACAACTCCAACTATTTCAAAGTTACATCTTATTTTTATGTGTTTCTAACTCCACCACCCCTTGTCACAGAGATAGCCGCCACCCTTCACAAGATGCTTTGCACAGAGAGAGATATGGACAACTTCTTGGCAGCTTTCCACAGCCTACTTGTTTCTCAGCATTGAGATAGGCAGGTGTCTGAGGCTGTAGCCTTTCCTTTCTGTGCTTGTTTTTCTCAAGACTGCTTATTATCTCAGAGGAGTGAACATCTTCCCAGGAAAATATGAAACGTAGTCAGAAGCTAACCTGAACCGGTCCAGCAAAGCTACTTTTAACCCCTGCTAAGCTTGTCATTCTATCAAACAAACCTTATGAAAGGTTTATGGGTAGGTTACATTCTAAATGTATATAAAGATTAATTAAAAGCCTCAAAAAACATTAAAACTCACAAGTATAATTTTAAAGGGAGGGGACACGAGCTGCAGAGTTCTGGATGATTTCAATATTGCTGATAGATTCAACACACATCATGCCACAGCTATGCCCATGCACTTTTCGCAATTCGTATCTGTTCCTGTTCTGTTCATATCTGAAGTACAGTCAGTACAATCTATGAAATTATTGTACCAAAACATATTTTGTTAATTTATGAGGAGCATTCCGGGGGAGCTTTGCAATGGTATTAAAAATATATAGTTCGCTCAATTACAGTGCTGCTTTATGAAGATAAAGATGTTTAATTCATATGTCGAGGTTTAGGCTTCCACACGCAAAAACACTGAAGCTGACTTTAAAACTATTGGTATATTCTCTCTGTCCCAGCTTGGCAATACCTCATCATATAATAATCCCTCCAAAACAAAAAAACAGTAATAAATTGGTCATTTTCAATCCACAACTGTTTGTGGGACACTGCTGTGCTCAGTTGGCTGCCGCGTTTCACCCACTAATATACGGTCAATTCACTTTAGTCTATTCTGTGAAGCACTTTGAGACGTCGAGAAGACGTGAAAAGCGCTATATCAAATGCAAGGATTATTATTATTATCATATAACAACTAGCTGCTTGGTCATACATTGGTCAAGTTCAGTTGAAGTATAAAAGTTATACAAATACAATACAAAATTACATTTGGATTGCACCCTTCACATTGGGAGGACATCCTAAGGCGCTGGACAGTCAGAGATTTGGAGATCGGAGACCGGGATACACTACAGCTGGCAGTCCTGTATCTTACACACAGTGTTCCTAAGTTTACATTTCAGCACCTAAAAAAGCGTGGCTTGGGACATTTATTTTCAACTGCCCAATGCATGTTAAGCGTTGAATTCACCTAATACTGAATCCTCGTCTTAACTGTACCATCGCTTTTTGCATGTACAATATCTGAAGATTTGTACCATTTTTCTGTTTCAGCTCAGAGCAGATGTGGTCCCAAAGACTGCAGGTAAGTCCCATGGGAGTAGTGGTAGTTTTGCCCACAAAATTACATAATCAATCCACTTCACAATATATTCGGTGAAATGCTTTGAGACATCTCAACAACGTGATAAGATATATCAAATGGAAAGATTATTATTTTTATTTGTTGAGTTGAAGGTGATCTGAGTTGCAAGGTCTGTGATAATTACACTGATTGTTTTTGTTGCAGAAAACTTCCGTGCATTGTGTACCGGCGAGAAGGGCTTTGGTTTCAAGGGCTCCAGCTTCCACAGAATTATTCCAGACTTCATGTGCCAGGTAAAGAACAGCTTTTCTTGGAAACAGTTGGGAATGTTGATGTGCTTGTGATGTGTCGCAGTGGACAGGCACTGACATTCTGAAATTATAATTGTATAGGGCGGAGATATCACACACCACAACGGCTTTGGTGGAAGGTCTATCTACGGCCCATCATTTCTAGATGAGAACTTCATACTGAAGCACACAGGACCTGGTAAATGGATACTCTTGTGGGATACAGTCAGGATTATTTTACACCCTTAGATTTTGTTTTAAAGAGTGAATAAAGACAAAAATTATGAGTAATAAATCTATTAGATTTTTGCAAAGAGCCGACTCAACACTCGCCTGCTCTTTAGCAGATCAGATCTGCTTGCTTCAGCCAAAAAGAATCCAAACTTGGTAACGGGGTCTTACCTTTGCTAGTCTGGTAATAAGATGAATTGTTATGGAAAGAATGAGTTGGCATGAACCCTTTGTTTTTGTAATTTCAATGCTATTGATTTTTGATGTAGGATTGGAAATAATGTTGTCAGGAACAATATTCCATTGTAAAATCATGAACTGCAATGTTCAATAATCCCCACCATCCACTCAGTCACTTCCAAGAAATAAACTCCCCAAAATAAAGCTTACGTTAAGGTGAATAAATTAATGGGGGAATCTGTCGAGAAGCATCCCTTCCTTTTATAACATCAGCAGTTCCTTAGTCTATATGAACGTTTTGTTAGGAGTCACAGGTATACTACCTGTGATGTTTGTCATCTACAGTAGTTAAAGAGTTTTCACTGTCGTACAAAGCTATTCAATAGAAAACTTTTCATGAATGCAAATAAATCACACCGAAAACGGAAATTAAAATGTAACTTCACAAAATGTAACATGTTACTAAATGTGGAACCCTGTAGTGTATTGGTAAACCACTCACCTCGCAAGCAAGAGGACTTGGGTTCGATTCCCGGTCAGTGCAAAACGTTAGGCAAGTTTCCTTACTCGACATGCCTCTGTTTACCTTTGGCCGTGCCTGCGTTCCTTTGACCACCCCAACCACAACTCCCCCCCCCCCCCCCGACAACGTCATCCACCACTGTCAAGAGCTCTAGGATACTGCCATGTGTGAGGTGTGCTGTACAGATGCAAACTGTTGTTGTTAGTGGATTGGCAGATAGCTTTTCTGTGGATGATAAACCCTTCAAATAAAAGAATAAAAGTAATATTAATTTGGTCGCTCAATCCACCGCTGTTTGTTTGACACTGCGATGTGCAATTGGCTGCTGGGTTTTTCCCATAAAATATACAGTCAATTCACTTTACAGTATATTCTATGAAGCGCTTTGAGACGTCTCAAAGACGTGATAGGGCACTATATCAAATGCAAGGATTATTATTATCAACAAGGAAAAACTAACCAATAGATCTATGTTTTTAACCTCCGGTAAAGTGATGCTTAAGACAAACTAAATGCATGAGTTTACTACGAACACTTGCTGTTACAGGTATCCTATCAATGGCCAATGCTGGACCAAACACCAATGGATCCCAGTTCTTCATTTGCACTAAAACGACTTCTTGGTAAATGTCTGACTGTATCGAAATCTCTTTCTGCGCTTATTGACCACTGGGTTTCTTATTCATCACAGGCTAACATCTGTTCATAAATTTTGCAGGTTAAATGGGAAGCATGTTGTGTTTGGTCACGTGAAGGATGGTATGGATGTTGTAAAGAAGATGGAAGACTTCGGCAGTAGCACTGGCAAAACCAAGGAGAAAATTATCATTACTGATTGTGGAGAGATGTCCTAACTTACTCATCAATTTGTGATTGGAATTCTGCTATTCAAATAAAACAAGATCAATGTGTTTTTTCCAATTTTGTTTTGCACTAGCATTTTAATTTAATGAAGATGATTTTTAAGCATTCTTTTATTTGAGAATTATATTTTCCATCTTTAGTCTCGTACTGCTCATCAAAATTGAATTAGAGCACAAAGAGGGCCTTAACTCTATACTGATAGATCCGGCTACCTGTGTATCTTGCTGATTCGTTGTACACTTGTGGGTTGAGTACATCTGGTTCTGCCTCATGAAACCAAACTGTACAATTTGACCTGTTGTCCAAACCCTGCAGCTGTTTGCTGTATAACACTTTTTCTACATATACAATGTATAATACGTTTCGCCTACAAAACACATAGGCACTACACTTTACAGTATATTCTGTGAAGCGCTTTGAGACGTCTTGAAGACGTGATAAGGCACTCTTTGAAATGCAAGGATTATTATACAGTCAAAGGTGCAATTTTAGCTGCAGTGTGTAACTGTTGTTATGAGAACTTGCCATCAGGTGGCAGCAAAAGCTAGTAAAGCAGACCTGTTCACAGCAGTGTCCAAGAGCAACGCTGTGAGATTTCACTGGACAATTGTATTAATCCTTGTGTTTGATATAAGAACAGCTTGCAATTATATAGTGCCCTTCAAGGAGTTAATGTCTCGGAGCATGTGCTCTGAGACATTCAGTAGATGTTCCGTCACAGAGTCAGCAGAACAGCTGCTTATCTTATCAAAAGGTATATTTCTTGAAGTCTGCAGATAATGCAGTTTCCAGCACAAGCTTCCTTTAGCTTAGAATCTATCTTCAGACCAAGACTCTAGCCAAGGGTACAGCTAGGTAAGAATTATGGAGTCCTGCAGCTCAGTGGTTATAGTACTCGCCACGCAAGCGAGAGATGTGGGTTCGATTCCCGGCAGGGCGAAACCTTGGCCAAGTTTTCTTACTCCACACGCCTATGTTTACCTAGCAGTGAGTAATAACCTGGTTATTAGTCGATGGTGGATTGCTTTTTCGGGGGTAATAATTCCTTAAAAAAATATAATTTGGTTTCTCAATCCACGACTGTCTGTGGGACACTGCTGTGCGCAATTGGCTGCCGCATTTCGGCCACAAAATGTACACTTTACAGTACATTCTGTGAAGCGCTTTGAGATGTCTCGAAGATGTGATAAGGCACTATATCAAATGCAAGGATTATTATTAATAAGTGTTATCAAACAGAGAGAGAAAAAGGTGCAGAATGTTAAAAACACTCGATCTGCAGGTGTCTTTGAAGCCTTGACTGTTTTCTACCTAAAAGGTACAAGAAGCAATGTCTTCAGGAGAGACTTGACCAGATGTATCGGAATGGCCAGCAACAATGTTTTGTGAGCTTTGTTTGAAGACAGAACAAGGATGAGTGCTGTGGCATTCTCTGGCTCACTCAATAAGCCAGAGCAGTTTGATGCTGTGAAAACAAGACTACAGTCAGATCAGGAATTGATTCATACGATAATAAAACCCAAAATACTGGAGATGCTGAAAATCTGAAACAAGAACAGAAGTTGCTGGGAACACTCGGCAGATCAGGCAGCATCTATGGAGAAAGGAAAGTGGGTCAACGTTTCGGGTCCACCACCCTTTGTCACTTTCCTTTCTCCGTACATGCTGCCTGACCTGCTGAGCGTTCCCAGCGATCTCTGTTTTTGTCGCTTAATACCAGCCTGGATGACTCCCAGTAAAGCCTGTGCTGAGGCCTGTGGATCCTCAAGAACAGAAGGGATGGCTCCTCAACTGCAGGGCATTGCTACTTACAGGTGATTATGTCCTTTGACATTGGAAGAAGCAGTGTTGCCTTCTGGTTTGAAAATTGTGTTGAAAAACTGAGATGAAGCTTTATTGTAGGGATCTCACAATATTTGGCGCAAACAGTTTATGGAGAAAGCATTTTAACTGAAAATTTCTCATATAGTTAAGAATTATCAGGGAATTGCGTGCCTTTCAAGAGGAGATTCGTAACATTGGCCCTCACTTCCAGGACCTTGGTCTCAGATGTTTTGAAAGCTGGTGTTACAAGTGGAAGGATAGTGCTGCAACTTTAAAAGTATCACTGTACAATTGCTCAGCATTCCACCTTGCTACATACCCTGTGTTGTCATTGTGGTTGCATTAGCAACAGGAGTAATTGTTTGCTTAAAAGTAGAGGTAGATCACTGCAAAAAGTCCTCATGTTCTACACTGGTGAAAGCACCAGATGGTGCTGTACATTGGAAGTGATGTTCTAATGGTGATTTTCGTGTTAGCACGTTTCAAATAATTTTTCTTGCCAATTTTTCTCCCATAGCCAGGTGCCCTCGGTGCCTTGCTCTCACAGCTTGTATTCATCCATGTGAACTATGACAGTGTGCATTAGCTGGCTGATGTAGCTGATTGGGCCGACAGGATCGAACTCACATACACAGAGATATCGATAGCAGTAGGAGTTTTGTGGGTAAGCGAGGGAAACCTGAATGAAATAAAGCCTAGTCAGACCTTGACTGACTGGATCCCTGACTGTCCAGCGCCCTGGAATGTCCTCCTGACGTGAAAGGCACTATACAAATGTAAGTTGTCTTTCTCAGTGGTGGATCCTCTGGGTTACTGGGGAAGCCCTGAAAGAGTTTTGTCTTCTGTATTCTTGGCAGTCAGGGTTGTAGCTTAAGTTGAGAATGCGTGACTGTTCTAACAGATGTGATAAAGAATTGTGCAAGTATATTTCCACTGACATATTTGAGTTATAAGCCTGGCTATCCTGTACTCAGTACACAGCCCTGGGATTGTTTGCTTGCTAACCAGGTGCTTAGTTTTAATCAATACCTTTTCTCACACGAGACCATTGCCAGAAGCAGAATAGCAACCTGGCAAAGAATGGGTGAGATGGGAACCTCAGTGTCCTGTGACGGTAGTTGAGGCCACTCGACTGCCCCTGTTTGAGCCCCCACTTTAAATAGGCCAATGCTGCCTGCGCTCACTCCCAATACAGCAAAAACAAATTCCTTTCTGCCAGACTATCCCCAAAGCTGGTGTTGGGAGTTTCCTTTGTCTTTAACTACTCATTGAACTATCACCGCTGTAAGCTGTTAAAGGTCTTAATTGATTTGCAGTCACATGACTGGGTAGATGGATGCCAGGTGTAGATTAGTGAGAAAGGTGGTCAGGATTCCAGTATAGTGTTGAGGGTAATGGGGGAAATTCAGAGTAAAGATTGGTTTAAAGGTCAAAAGTGGAATATTTTAGGGGTAAAATTGTCTTAAAACATTTTTTTTGAATTCTCCAGCATGTCTGTCTTTGTGAAGGTAAGCTACACAAAACTATTCACCAAATATGCATCTGCTAAATTTAAGATAGTCTTGACTTGTTTGATTTGTAATCATGTGCATCCTACAAGCTGGCTTGCCTGATGGCATCTTTGAAATTGGTTAACTAAAACAGTTTCAGCACCACTACTTTTAATGCAGACGTGATAAGGCACTATATCAAATGCAAGGATTACTATTATTATTATCCTGATGTACTCTATCACCAGATGACAAAAAAAACATTTTATTTTTGTCATACCAGAGATGGAAGGATATAACTAATGAGGGGAGGTTAGGACTGTTCCTGCTGGGGCTGAGGGCCAAAAGGGCCTAAATTCAGGATTGTGACGGGTCAAACGCTTGAATCTTTGTCTGTGCTGACATTACTGGTCTCAACCAGGGCTGCCTGTGAAGGATTAGTTAGCCTCAACGTTCCCAGGGTTTGAGTGAGTCCCACTACTGCACACTCGACTTATAGCACTCTGAGATGCTATCCTGTGTGAAGGACCTGGCAAAATGCAAGTTGTTGTACTTGTTGTGATGTGTGGCAGCTCGGCAGGGAGAGATCAGGTTTGTCTCTGATGCTTTCTACAGAGTGCCTGCCAACAATTGTGTGGTCTGCTGATGCTCACACATGAACAACCCCCATTTGCGTGGGATATCAGAGGGGAATTGACACCCAGGTGAGATCATTTGGGAGAAAATTGGAAAAGTAAATGGACACACTAAATTTTTAATGCAATAACAAAAAGGAATAAAAGGAGAGGTTTTTGCAAAACTTCTTCCAGCCGGTTGTCAGGATAGGGAATGATTTGCTAGGGGTTGCTGCCAGAGAATTAATTGTGTGCATTTAAAAAAAGATATGGACATCCCCATGCAGAAGAAGGGTGTTAGATGGTATAGGGAAAGAGCAGGAATTTGGATGCGTGGCTTGGAGGAGCAACCACTGACATAAACTGGGTTGAAAGGCCTCCTACTGTGTCATACATTTCTATGCTACTATTATATTTGGGTTTTGCTTAAATTTTCAGAGAATTCCAGTGGAACCCCTGATTTGTCTCTTCGCCGACTCATCAACACTGATATTAAGGGACATCCTCAAGGTAAGGGAGAAGTGTCATGCATGTGTTATAGCCAGCTCTGTAACCTTCTCACACCAGTACAGAGCAATGCTACTAGGATGCCTTATTGATGATTTGTCTTATTCGTCTGGGATACGTTTCCGACATGAAGGGCACTATACAAGTGTAATTTGCTGTTGTTGTTTAGTGTCTTGGATCGCCCTCCAGCATGAAAGTGCTATATAAATGTGATGTAATTTGTTGTTACCAGCTTTGTTGATGATTTTTTGCCCTGTTGATGAATTTCCAAAAATATATCTAAAAGTTGACGCTTTTCAAGTAATTTTTCAAAAGGTTAAAATGACTTAATTTTACAATAAAATGACCTCTGACTTGGAAACATTGTCCTGCCTGTAAAAAGATCACAGAACCGAGGCCTCTTTGAAATGCTGAAGAATCACCCTTGCAGCAATTATTCTGCAGTTGAGACCACTGAGAAACACAGTCAAAGTTATATAATGGAAATTGCAACTATTTCTCATTGAAAATGTAAGTTTTGAAATCTGGCCAAGAGTTGGGAGGGATATCTTTGGTACTTTACTGCTGGGAGAAATGTAATGGAAACCTGATGTCAGAAGTGATTCCCTTTAGCATTGGTTAC